CTGCTTACTGCAGGACCCAGTGCCACGCCGTCCGAAGCGGTAATGAGCAGAGGCACGACAGCAGCGCTGATTTATATCTTTTCAGGTTCAAGCAGAACGATGTGCAACCAAGTGGTACTCGATTATGATGACTGGGTTTGTAAAAAACGTTTATTTCGTGAAAACAGAGATAAAATTATCATTTGTACATGTTTCAAGTTTTTTAAAGAAAATTGAAAAAAAAATTATTTCAGCAGATTTTTTATGTAATATCCTATCGATAGACGTATTTGGATTGTAATTTCATCTATAAATGACAAAGTTGCAAGTGTTCAAAACCTAACACTATTCCGCACAATTTTTTTTTTTTATTTGCACCCGACAAAGGCGTAGTTTTCGTAAAAAAAAAACAATATTAAATTGCAAATACACTGACATTTTTGTTTTTTTTTTGTTCGAAACAAAAAACGAATGAAAAGGATCGATCCAGTCGATTTTTGTCGTGTTTGAGATCGAATAAAAAAATCGATTAATCGAACCAAAATAATCGATATGTTGTGTTTCGATCCAAGATCGCCGATTGCTAATTGGGATCCTTTAGTGATCTGTGGCCAATGAGATATATACAGGTACAGGCACAAGAGAGTATTTGTTGGTATTTGTAGCAAAAAAGAGGTAAACAATCGGTGATGACGAAAAACTCATAAAAATTTATCATGAAAAAAATGGAGTTTGACGTCACGGAAAGTGTACTTCACAAACACTACGACATATTTTGCACTGCACGAACACCATTTTACGATCATTTTCTCACCTGTATATACCTCATTGAGCTGTGGCATTGTACATTTTGTTTGTTCGTTTTACTTGTCCCTCTGTAGTAGTGGTTGAAAATAGCGTCTCCGTTTATGTGTATTGGGTAAGCAGATATGGGAGTGTGCGTCGGTTGTGATGTCACGGTTGTGGTAAGTGATTTGACGGTTCTCTATGTGGGTAAGTGTGCTCGTGTATTTCATTGCAAATGCACTACACTTACGAGAACTCAGGCAAAGCTTATCACGGACAATGCAAATGTTCTGTTCAAGTGTGATAGTCTTTAAGATCAGAGTTGTGACGAGCAAAATAGTATTTCTACTCTCGGACTCAGTCACTGGCATGCGAGATTACATTGCTGCTCAGATGGACATCGCGTTTAAAAGCGAGACGGCAGACATCAGACAAAATATAAATGGTCTTGAAAAATTATTTTGTGAGAAATTTAACAGTATGAAAAGTTGATTTTTAAAAGCTAATGCGGAAAACAAATAAAAAAAATTAGAAAATACTAAACGCAAGAAACGTTAATTTCAAAATAGAATCGCAGAATAAAATAATGCGTTTGATTTTGAGATGTAACAGATTCACTTCCTCAACTTCACGGATAGAAATCTCCTTATACCTTTTGGCAAATTTCTATTGCTGATTATTCATAAAATGTATAAGTCAACTAATGAGCAGACGCTTTGCAAAAAGTTAATGAAGATCATGTGTCAAATGAAATGTATAAGCGGTCACACATACCTTTAATGCATTCTTATAGGACCTATGTCGTTTGTCTTATGAAATGTATAAGGCTGATGTTTTGGCAAAAATGTATAAGTGAAACACATGAATAAAATAATTGATTTTCGTTTCGTGTTTGATGCGGTGAATAATATAAAATAAACATAAAATAAATCACACAACCAGTGGAAAATATCCATGTGAATTTCACATAACTTCCATTTGAACCCATAATTGGAAATTGCACCACTAAATCACATGAACTTTATGTGTGCAATGAAATCTATATGATTTCACATATAGAATTTCTTATGCTATGTGATAAAAACCATTATTTTAGATATTGGAAAAATATTATGTGCTAAGTGAAAACTTTTTTCAGAGTATATTTGACAATGGTTTTCATTTTAAAGCAGTTAACGTTTTGCTACCTCGATATTTCGAATTGAAAGAGGAAGTGACTTTCATAGATATAACACTAGAAACGCGGATGAAATAAAAACACTATATTTCTTGATCTGTGCTTCACAAAATTCATTGTATTTTAGAGGAATAACTGTTGATGATAAACATAAAATTGAACATTGAAGTTTATTTGGAAGATGCCATGAATTAGTAGTAAGTTTTCTGGCTGAATGTAGGGGATTCGTGAGGATTCCTGGCGTTGCTGAAGATTAAGATAGCTTCAGATTGCATGGTTGCTAGTGTATTAGAATGCTTTGTTGATTATTCATGAACTCTTGATCGTTGTGAGTATGTTAGGCGGAAAAAAGAGTGACAAGAGGTGAACGCCTAAGCTTTTCACATTTATATCGCTGTGAAGCAACTGAAAAGTGTTGAGGGAATTTATATCTGTAACTGTAACCAGTTCGTTTTAAACTGGTTAAGTGTTATACTTAATTATCTTAAAGATAAATCGTCCAGCTTAAATCTTTGTAGGAGTAAGAAGTCAGTGATTAATCGACTGCTTTCAGGGCAACACTGCATCTTGAACTTATGGCATAGTAGCCTGGTTAGTTGCCCTATTCTTCGCGCCAAGTTCACCAATGTTGCATGCTGAACAGTTGATGGAGCATGTCAGATGAACATCATCTTCGTAATAAATTAATCACTAATTATTCTGACGTTCAATTATAATGTGGTCTTGAGCAAATTTGTAGCTGGGAAAATTTAATGTGCTTCAGAGCCCAAATAATTTAGATGGAGAAATATGAAACATTGAATGAGTAGGTAGGGGAAATGTCTCTAATGTTGGCCTATGGATCTAAGATTGGGCCCATCGCTAAAAATCTGCTATTTATCAATTTTATCTGGTTGAACACGTTATTGAGACGTTACTAATGGATATTTTTGGTTGCTATTGAAAATTTAGTCAATTGCTGAATTTATGTATGGGTCCAAATTAGGGACACTTAGGCCGACATTACCTGCATTTCCCCTATATAATCAGAAAACATCATCAGCAATAAGAAGACATCATTGAATTTGTGATGGTTATATCGGAACTACATTTCATAAGTTATTGTTTGAGTGCCTTTTCAAACAGGTATAAAACAAAAATGCTTGTTTAATGTGTTTGGAAAATATGTATCACATCTATCTATCTATCTATCTATATATATAAAAATGAATTTCTGTCTGTCTGTCTTTCTGTCTGTCTGACCCTTATAGACTCGGAAACTACTGAACCGATTGGCGTGAAAATTTGTATACAGGGGTTTTTGGGGCCGTCGAAGGTTCATATGATGGTTCGAGACCCCTCCCCCTTCTGTAAGGGGGGGCTCCCATACAAATGAAACAGAAATTTCTGCATAACTCGAGAACTAATCAAGCGAATGGAACCAAATTAGGCATGTGGGGGCGAGTGTGGGGGTATAAGGAGATAATCATAGGAGGTAGCCCCTTAGATAATAGGGGGGGGGGGGCTACGTACAATATAGCATGCTTTTTTTTTTAAATCGGCGCATAAACTCAAGCTAATATTGAATCCCGAGCAAGACCGGGCACACTCAGCTAGTAATATATAAAAACTCTTTCCGATATCAATGGCAATTCGGGAAAAGTGTGAATTTTTTTCGCTCAGCCCAGTAAAAATACAAATTTATCATTTTGAATTTAACAATATTCTACATTTGACAATAGAGCAGCGTTTCTCAATCTTGCGCGGGAAATTTGTCTTTTTCAAGTAAATTTAATGGCAATTTGTTTTAAAGTTTTATCATATGTATACACATACAGCATCATATTAATACATATACAACATCAATATTGATGGGTTAGGAGCTTATTAAATCTCAAAATAAAATAAAAAGGAAAGGAAGATTGAGAAACGCAGCAATAGATTATCATATCGACACGGAAGTGGAGATAAATCTTTTATTTTATTTTTTCAGCATGAGTGATTTTTTTTGAGGGATTGATTTTAGCGCAGGAGTCTACTTCGGCGCTAAAGGCGCAATACGATCGATCCTCAGCTGGATAATCAGCAAGTTCAAGATAAAGACGCCGGCCACGTCCATACGGTCATCCGGGAGGGGAAGGATATTTAGTTCGACATCTGTTGTTTCTAGGAACCTGCTGCTCCATGGTTTTCACAGGAAAAAAGTTTTTGTTAGTAGGCAGGGTAAATTACATCTGCATATGCTTTGTAAATTGATCCGATCATTCAAAGCTTGGCAAACTAATGATAAGATAATGTGACTCTATCAACTCACTAATGTAAAGGGGCTTGGGATAGCACATCACAACAAACCACTGTACCCGACGATCAAGCTCGGAGAAAAAGCATTTAGGATTAGTCAACATTTCCAAACACAACGAAATCCAATTGGTTAAATGCCAAGCCTGCATTATTTATCGCGATCGCGGCATTCATTTTTCTCCTTCAAAACGAATCGTATTTCAACATGAACAAAAGCTTAACTTATTACACGTACTCAACAAAACAAAACACGATCGCGATCGAGGTTATCGTGCTCGGTAGCAAAAGCAAATTAATAACAATGATAGAACCTTTACATTAATTTGATCCAGGAATGGCTCAGCGCTTCCTATAATTAACCGGGTATGTGCTTTAATGAACTCTGATACAGCCAAAATTAATGACGGGATAACAGGTGCGTTACCTTCACTTGAACTTAAAATCATCTTGGTGGTAGTTACCGTTCGGGACCCTTGGCGGGACCCAATGCCGTATACCCGAAAAACGACCCGAAGTCTGTCTATCCCATACGAAAAATGTAAAAATTAATATGCTGTACCATAATCATTCCCTCATTAAGGTATTTTTTTTACTATGGTGGTCACTTTCACACTCTTGCGTCATTCGTGACATGACCGGGGATGAGATTTAAACTCGTAACTTTAGCGTGAGAGGTATGGATGTTAACCGTTATGTTTACCTCTAGAAAATGTATCGCGCTTATGAAATTTCCAGATACCATTATCGCCGGAGTATTTAAATTTTTGCAAACACTTACCTTCTTCTAGCTGCAGTTGAACACAGTGTTCGGACTCCCAATTGCCTAACGCTTCGCAGTTCCCTGTAACTCCAATTGTTTCATCCTTCAGTAGATCATAGGTGACCAACACTCGAAACTTGTGACGACGATCACCCGGTGGTTTGAGTGGTTTAGCCTTTTTTGTTACAGTGCCCACCGATGAGGATGCACTGTTGGCTGACCCGCTATTCTCTTCAAGAAACCACCACCGCTGCATGATTGTTCAATGACGTTGTATTATGTCTGAAATAGAGAAAAGATAGCTACTGATAAACAACGGTGAGTTCAATGTTTATTGAAGATAATCTCTATATACATAGCAATAACGAACTCTTTGAATGGCAAGCAATATTTGAACGATCTGAATTTTTAATTGAGGATGCGATGGTATGACTGATATAGCTTTTGGAATTACTCGCCCTCTGAAGGAAAACTAGGTTTATCTGTTCGAAACTCTACTAACGGACTGAATCACATAACAACGACCAATAAAAGGTCATGGCGATCTTCAATTGAAGCGATTCCTGTTATCTACATTTGCTGATAGCATTGAATTCAAATTTTATATTGGCGAGATAATGGAAGCATTCTCGTTAAACTGATCTGTACATAAGTCCCCACTTGAAGGCATTGCCCTTACCACAATTGGCAATGAAAAGAAAACATTCAATTACAAATCATTATCGAAAAAACAACAGTCGCGAGACACTACCAATGCTTAATTATATAGGTATTCGTCAACTTGATGATTAACTATTTTTACTTCGCAGTCGGAGACACCAACAACCCTTTCACGTGAAAGCCAAAGCTCAGTTATAAATTGATATGCACAACAGCATTGTTCACATGGCAAGTCCGTCCCATAGCACAAATCAGCAAGCCGAGAAAAACGCGTTTTAAGTTAGCTTCGTACCATTGCTTCTTATGCAATGGGACAACCCGTTTGGCTGTTTGTCCTAACTTTTCCAGAACAAAGTGTATCCAGTATTATGAAACTATGGCTGATTAGTTCATTGAAAAACTCAGTTTTGACAAAAACGGAAATAGGACCGACTTGCGATTAGCGGCAGTGTAGCTCTCGGCGTGGTAACAAGTAAATAAACGGCAATCGTATACAGTATTATACACATTATTTAGCCTCGTCGCTTTTAGATTTAGTATTCGTAAACAAAAGCTACATCACATGATGTTGGTGTCGTGTCTTCGTTACAAAATCGTCTAGAGTAAAGTGGGGTAAGAGTTCGCCGGCGGCAAAAGTATGCACTTGTCCAAAAGCCAGGTTATATTTTTTGATGGAAAAATAATTATGAGTAATTTAAGAAAAATTTCATGAGTTTTCAAATAGCTTTTCCGTTTGTTTTTTTTTTTTTTTTTTTGTGGAGACAGTTTTTTCCGTTTTGTGGTGATAGTCGTCCATACTTTTACTAGAGGGTTTTAGTTTGGGGAAGTGAAATATCATGCACTATAAAAAATCTTCGTCGATTTACCTGAAATATCACGTAACTGATGAGCATGAGCATGAGTATTGATACATTTCTCGCCTAACATTTGAAAAGGGCCTATCCTCGTTGATCGATTCTCTTCATCGACTTTCTCTTTGGTTTACCACGGCAACATAAACCAATTTTTCGATAAGAAAACAAGAATTTGGAATGGTAATGGTTCTTAACAACCCATTATTTGTAAGGTTCACTTCCAAAAAACCATAATACATAAGGTTAAAATTTTATCACACAAACGTTCATGTAAAGTTCCATAACCATTCCAGGTAAAGTTTAGCAGGGATTATAAACAATTTTTAACCATTTTTGGTAAGGTCAAGTAATGGTTCGCATTTATATATGACTCCGTGATTGACCAGATTTAGCGAAATTTGCACAAAGAACCATATGAATGGGGCTTGGGATTAGCAATCCATTCTCAGTATGATAAATCCGGTGAATCGCTATTTTTGAGGTTCATAGCGGAGCCGGCTACGTCCTTACGGTCATCGGGGTTGGAAAGAATTGTTATTTCGACACCCGTTGTTACTAGAGACGGAGTATCCCTAATAAAAAAATGTTATGGTTATTTTGCTTAACGACGTGTTCGGGGTATCATCCAAACCATTTATGGAATAATTCTACCATTTGAATTATAGTTCATTTATGGTATTTGTTTATTAAGGACACCTGTGCATCTTCACGGTTATCACGGGACGTTTTTGTTAGTGGGATTCATATTGGAAAGTGGTGCGATCTTTTAAAGCCTGTTAAGCAAATGACGCGACCCTATCAACTAAGTAACACACACAAGCTAACGAAAGACAATCGTTCAATATGGTGTTTTTTCATTTTTTTTTTCTCTGTTTGGGACATAGAATAACTGCGACGAGTAATTTGATCTATTGTAGTATATCTCGTGTTCTTAGTTTAGTGCATGTAATATTACTCCATCACTATCGAGAAATGATTGAGTATTCGGTTTTGATACAGTTGTCATTCTTGCCTTCATCACAAGGAATCGATTCGAATTGAAGAATGAGAGCACCCTCCAAAGGCGCGCCTCTTTGTCAGTCAAAATTGAACTCCTTAGTAACAATTTTAAGCAATGACACCGATAATGACCATGCATCAGAACCCTAATCAAAGTAGGGAACAGCGAATAGAAGATTAGGAATCACATGGATGGCAAAGTCGAGTCTTGTCACTATGAACAAGGCATAACAAGCAACAAAGACTAACCCAGACAACCAGAATGCACGTATATTCAAAGTTGTTTTCGTGATATACAAACATATATACAAGCCAACAAACCGTATAAATAGAATACAAAGAAATGGCTTATACGTACAAAAGTGGAGGCCATATACGTGCAAATTTAAATTTAATTTTAAACAAGTTGATTTAACATCATATACGATTTAATCTGTAATAACAAATTGACTTTGAAAAGTCTTACGATGTAACCCGATTTGATTTATGATACAGTACGATGGAAAAATGAATCATCGCATATAGGTCGGAAATTTGCATTCTATACGATTTAACTTAAACATAATGCGATGTATGCCATTCTTATATGCGATTTTGACTTAAACTGTAGCAATTTACGATACTGTCTGCACATTGTTATACGACTACTGGTTGTCTGGGAAGATGTGTTCCTCTGATTACTGAAAATTCTTGTTCCACTTTTTCGTGCATAAAACTGGTTCAGAATTTCAGCACATGTAGCTTTATCTATAAGAAACAACTTTGCTCAAGACAGCATCATGATTCAAGTTAGTATTATAGAGATATTTATATGTGCATTTTGTTCGTATATTGCAAAAAAAAAATACAGGCAGCTTCGTATCAACTAGATTACCATTAAAAAAAATAAAAGTTCACCATTTCCACAGGCCAACCTTAATTTTTATATGGAGATATTTTCATATAAAAAATGCTAATAGGGGAAATGGATGTAATGTCGACCTAAATGTTCCGAATTTAATGCATAAATTCAGCAATCGAATAAATTTTCAATAGTGACCAAAAATATCAATTAGTACCGTCCCAATGATGCGTATATAGTTAAAATTTATAAATATTAGATTTTTAGCGATGGGCCTAATCTTAGATCCATAGGCCAACATTAGAGCCATTTTCCCTATACACTCAACAGCGAATATCTCAATAAAACTAACCGGATTCATAATGCAGTCTTCAGCCAAGTTGTTACTTATTGTTCCCCATGCAAAATTCATACTAGCGCATCCTGGTTGTAGAATGAGCTAAAACTTCCAGAGAATGGTTTTCTCACCTATAGACCCAAATCTAGAGGTTGGCCCGTGGAAAATTATAACTTTTATTTTTGTGGGCTAGTCTATTGCAGATTTTCGGATGTAGCTATTGATTTCATTTTTCATTTTCATTTTGCAGCGTTTGGTGGGGCAATGGGAGCGCAAGTCAATCCAAAGCCGAGGATAAAGGACGGGTAATGGCTGAATAGTCTATGCGGACCACTTGAACGCCATGGGAAAAGGAAGGGATTGAAGAGGCCGGTTATTAGGGGGTTTTGAGGAAATGACACATAGTGATGCTAAATGTAAAGAAACCGAAAATCCATCTCCCACTGATTCATCCTTTCACATTTATACCAAATTGATATTTTAAAGCAATAATCAAAATAAACAGACAATACATAAAAAGGCTAGTTGCCAGTTGCTTTAAAGGCTAGTTGCCTTCCTAAGCGGACCCTCCGCATTCTAACTCTTCTGTTAATCCACTTAATGCTACTAGGCTGTCTAAATTTTCTTATTTAAGTTCGTTTGATGATTATGATATCTCTAGTCTAATTTAATAAATAATTGAAATATCTAATCTACCTACCATGCTTTATTAAGTACCTGCACTTGTGAATGTAATCTAAAATTTAACGTGTTTCAAGTTGTTTTTGACTTTGACCTATATTTAATATATATTAGTTCGTCCCAGGTGACACCTTCAAGTGACTAAAATGCTTCACTTTGAAGTTAGTTTCCTAGCTGATTTTTAAATTACATAGGATATATGCTTCAACTACGCTCACACGTTTCCACTATGTCGTCCCACAAAAATACATATGGGTATGTCACAATAGAAGCACGCCACAGTGGAAATCCCGAGCCATAGTTCAAAAACTTATCCCAAATCAAAATGAAGCACATATAAGATTAGTTCATCCCACTGCGACCTAGCAAGAAGTACAGTCGACTTGTTTCGCGCTCCGGTATTTCGGAAGTTTTCTCGGTATTCGGTTGGTTTAAATTATCAGTTTTTTCTCGCTTAGTGATTACTGGCATAGTACCCGGCTAAACAATTATCTGAAAGTGAGTTTTTCTGAGAAGAAAGTGGTTTTCGGCGCCATCGGAAAGAAAATTGTTCACTTGCAATTGCATATTCGCAAACCAATTTGCGCTTCATCGGTGCGTGATCACGCATACCTGCACACAGATCATCGTCATCGAGTGTCAGCATCTGCCTCCGCATTTATACCGGTCATCCATCATCGTGTGTCCAGCTGAGTGCCGAGCCTAATACAAGCACACCACTACAAAGATCGCCCGCACACGCGCATCGAAGGTCACCCACGCTGCGCGTCGCTCCGCTGCTGCTGTGTAATCACTCGGTGGTAGTAGTATAGCAGATAAGTTTCTTTTTCCTGTTTCTTTCTTTCTCTCGCCCATCAGTTAAATTTAATTTTGTGTTTCTGTGTTTGTATTTTTTTTCTGTTTATTGTGT